AAGAACAGAATCAAATATCTGCCCTAGTTCCACCCACATGCATGTTTGTTTTCTGTGTAATCAGCTAAGTGAAAATATAGCTTGCCAGGCAAGGTAACATACGCCCACTGGCAGCTGTCAGAAATGATTAAACAGTCTTTAGTGACTCCAGGGTTGCACAATATAGCTAATAGAGTGAAACGTCAAGTCAGACACGATATTTCGTTGAAATATTATCCGATCATCGCGAAAATCGATAGGGATCATCTTCATAATGACATTGATATACAAAATAAAAATCAAAAGAATCTGTAAACAATTGTAGCCTGTAGAGTGAGCACGAGTTGCACAATATAGCTAATAGAGTAAAACGTCAAGTCAGACACGATATTTCGGTGAAAAATTATCCGATCATCATGAAGATCGATAGATCATCATGAAAATCGATAGGGATCATTTTCATAATGACATAGACATACAAAATAAAAATCAAAAGAATCTGTAAAAAATTGTAGCCTGTAGAGTGAGCACGAGTTGCACAATATAGCTAATAGAGAAAAACGTCAAGTCAGACACGATATTTCGGTGAAAAATTATCCGATCATCACGAAAATCAATAGGGATCATCTTCATAACAACATTGACATACAAAATAAAAATCAAAAGAATCCATGAAGAACTGTAGCCTGTAGAGTGAGCACGAGCCAAATGTGAACGTACGGAGGGACGGAGGGACGGAGGGACGGACCGACGGGGTGATTACAATCTACGCCCATCTTACGTGTGGGCGTATAAAAATCAGGGCCATTGCAGCAGTAGTAAACATAAATGTTGTACAGTACGTGAATCCAGATCGACCTTTACTGACATCCATAACCTCTTTGGCACTAGTTGGAAAGTTATTTGAATCTCTATCATGTCCAGTGTATATGTTCAACTTCCAGGTATATCCAAATGCAGGATCCTTTGCTTGGCTCAATTTAAAAACTTTATACCAAATCTTGCAGACTTAGATTAATTGTAATGTTTGAATCCAAGTCTAACATAAAACTTCATGTGTGATTCATCAATCGCAATATCCTGTGATGGTGTGTAAGCTGATTTTAATTTCTTATTCAGAATGTCAACAACAGGTCAAATTTTAAACAGTCTATCAATGCCTTCATCTTCTTTATTATAGTTAAACTGGTTTGCGTGGTATATAAGTATATCCGTCATGACTACCAATCATTTTCTTCGGTGAATGTTGCATGTGCAAAAACTTAATTTTCTGCCAAAGCACTTCACACATAAACTAATTGAAAATTTCCAGAGCAGAGCTGTCTTCATTCAGGTTATCTAGCTCACAACCATACAGGCTTATTGTCGACTTTCTCCCATTTCCATTCAACCGGATTATTAGGCCAACTTTCGATTTCTTCATTAGAGCTGTCAACAACTATGTAATTCACACTAGAAACGTAGATTCTAATTCTTCATCACTTAGATAGGATGCATCATCGCTGCCTTCACTTGAGTCACCCTCCTCTTCTGACAACGATCCAGAGTCTACTAACTTATTTCTAATCTTATTTTCATCCAAAGTGAATTTTTGTTTGTTACCTGACACCATGATTGAAAGGGAGATAACTGTCTCTTACATCCGCAAATTCTTTATGGCTCATAGGCCTAAACAAAACATTAGAATGTTCTGGAGTAAGCTTATGGAATGGAAAGACTCAAACCAACAACACCAAGTGATGAAAACTGAAATTTTAAGTAGACTAGACCATAGACGACCCTTTCAAATAGCATCAAATCAAACCAAATTTTTTATCCCTTCAGTATGGTAGCATGAAAAGCTGAAATATTCA